AATCAGGAACAAGACAAGGATGTCCACTGTCACAGCTCCTATTCAACATAGTTCTGGAAACATTAGCCAGAGCAATTAGATAAGAGAGAGAAATAAAAGGAGTAAGGATAGGAAAGGAAGAAGTGAAATTATTATCTGCAGATGATGTGATTCTTTATATGGAAGACTCTAAAAACTCAACCAAAAGACTCCTAGAATTAGTCAACAAATTTAGTAGCATAGCTGGACACAAAATCAACACTCAAAAATCAGTAACATCCCTAAACACAAACAACAAACACAGTGTAAGAAATTAGGGAAAACATACCTTTCACAATAGCACCCAAAAAATTGAAATACTTAGGAATCAATCTAACAAAAGAAGTAAAAGATCTATACAGTAAAAATTACAGCATTCTGAAGAGATCAAAGGGGATTTTAAAAATGGAAAGATAGTCCTTGCTCATGGATAGGAAGAATCAACATTGTGAAAACGGCCTTTTATTGTTAATACAGTGTGTCAACTGGGGGAGTCTAGAGGTTTGTAACTAACTCAGCAGTTCTGTAAGTAACTCAGCAGTTCTGCATGTTGGGGTAAAAAGGACATGCCCTTACCCTTCTGGGATGTTGTTTATTGTGTCAATTTAAAAAGTTTAAAAGCTTAACTATGAGACTCAGCAGGCAGCCAGGGTGCTTACTTTATATTCATTCTGAGTTTTGTTTTTTTTTTTTTTTTTTTAAAGGCATGCAGAGGGTGAGAGGGTGTGGGTGTAGAGGACCACCCCCCCACCCCAGAGCACATAGGCTGCATAAAATAAAAAAATTTGAAAAGGACTAGCTGCTGGTTCTTTGGAGGAGCTCATCTTCGCTTCAGCTTGGTTATCTCCTGGCTTCTGGTGCAGACTGTTTGGCTTCTGCCTGGGACTCTTCAGCCTTCTGGTATAGGGCCTTTGGCCTTCGCTGTAGATTCTTCAGCATTCTGTCGCAGACTCATCAGCCTCCTGATACGGACTTGCACGGACACTGCAGTGTCCTCCAGGCCTGGGACTAGGCTCTTCTATTTCCAGCATGCAGACACCCTCTGCATGCTTCCTCATCCAACGCTGCACCTGACCATTGTAAGCCAAACATAATTTCTTATACATTTATGTATCTAGTGTTATGTCTGTTTCCCTAGTAAACCCTGTTACATGGCCATACTCCCAAAATTGTTATACAGGTTCAATTCAATCCTGATGAAAACACCATTGGTATATTTCACAGATCTAGAGAAAACACTCCTAAAATTCATCTGGAACCAGAAGAGACCCAGAATAGCAAAAGCAATCCTGGGCAACAAAAGTAAGGCAAGAGGTATCAAAATCCCTGATTTGAAATTATACTACAAAGCTACTGTGATAAAATCAGCATGGTATTTGCAAAAAAATAGACCTGAAGATCAATGGAACAGACTAGAAGATGCAGCCACAACCGTAAACACACTCAGCCACCTTACCTTTGACAAAGGGACCAAACATGTTCACTGGAAACAAAGATCGCCTCTTTAATAAATGGTGCTGGAAAAACTGGCGTTCCATATGCTGAAGACTAAAACTAGACCCATACCTATCACCATGCACCAAAACAAGGTCAAAATTGTTTAAAGATCAAAATATTACAATGGAAACACTAGATCTACTGGAAGAGTAATTTGGTTGTAGTCCTGCAGACAGAGGGGTAGGCAGAGAGTTCATGAACAAAAACAAAACTGAATGGGGAATACTTCAAAGAATCAACAACTGGGCTCTCATTTTATTAAAAATTTTTTCATATCAAAAGAAATCATCAACAGGGTGAAAAGAAAACCCACAAACTGGGAAAAAATTTTAGCGTGCTGTGCCTCAGACAAAGGACTCCTGTCTAGAACATACGAAGAATTAAAAAAATCAGGCCCTCCAAATTCAAAGACCCAATCCAAAAATGGGCATCTGAATCCCCACTTCTCTGATAAAGAAATACAAATGGGAAATACATGAAAAACTGTTCAACATCATTAGTCATTCAAGAAATGCAAATTAAAACAACATGAGATTCCATCTCACCCCAGAAAGAGTGGTTATCATCAAAATCAACCCATAACAAATGCTGGAGAGGCCATGGGAAAAAAGGAACACTTCTCCACTGTTGGTGGGAGTGTAGACTGGTGCAGCCACTGTGGAGATCAGCCTGGAGATCAGATTCCTCAGTAAACTAGGACTAGAGGTCCCATTCAACTCAGCTATTTCCCTTTTGGGTATTTACAGCAATATATGTGTACCCATGTTAACAGCAGCACAATTTGTAATAACTCAGTCTTGGAAACAATCCAAATGCCCATCAACTGAGGAATGAATAAAAAAGATGTGGTATTTTTATACAATGGAGTATTACTCAGCTATAGAGAAAAACTGAAGACTAGAGACCATACTCATAAGTGAAATAAATTAGACTCACATGTGTAGGCATCACATTGCCTCCGTAGTATAAGAACCTGAAAGAGTAAATACAATCTGAAGAGTACAATAGATATTGTGAAGTGGAAGGAAACTGCTCCAATTGGAAATAACAACTGGGATGAGGGAAAAAAAAAAAAATAGAAGGAAAAAACAGGTGTATTTATATACACAGGATAGCTGGGGTAATTGTACTAATTATTATTGGTTTGATGAAAGGAACAGTTGATGTGTAATTGTATGATCAATCATGCATGCCTATATCTGGTTATCTGAGCAACTAGTTTGAAACTGTCTTATTTGTGCTTTTTTTTTTTTTTTTTGGTAACGGGAATCAAACTCATGACATTGCACTTGCCAGGCAGGTACTGTGCCACTGAGCTATATCCCCAGCCCTGCTTTAGTTATTTTTTTTAATTTTTTGTCTTTTTGAGACAGGGTCTCACTATGCAGTTTAGGTTGAACTTGAACTCACTTTGTAGTCCAGGATGGCCTTGAACTCACAAAGATCCTCCTGTCTCAGCCTCCCGAGTGCTAGGGTTACAGGTGTGTGCCACCATGTCTGGCTCTATAGGTTTATTGAAAGGAACAGATAAGGCTTAATTTTTTTTTTTTTTCTCTTGATCAATTTTGCATGCTTACACCTAATCGGAACACCTAATTTGAAGATAACAATACACAATATAACAACCATTGCTGAATTCCTAGTATCTTGTTTAATGAAGCTCTGTACCATTTCTAAAGTTTTACTTTTTATTCTCTTCAATGGTTTGATCAATCTTGCATTCTTACATCTGTAATCTGAGCAACTTTGAGGATAACAGTATGTAATATAACAATTAATTCCTATCACGTTTTCAAATCCTGAATTTTTTGTCTTGTTATTTCTCTTTAAAATTAAGAAAAAAAAAAAAAAATGACAAGAACTATAGAAATCACAGTAGACCAAAGCCTCTGAAGTGCAGCAGTTCCAACTCTCAGGCTGGGTAGTTCTTTGATAAGGGCAGTCCTGCAGAAGTGTGTCTATGCAGGTCCTCGTTCTTCCTGACACCACTGGTACCATCATCAAATGTCCCCAGGGCAGGAGATGAGCCCTTCAGGACAATCACTGTGTCCTGACCAGAGTCCACGTTCTCCACATCCCACTTCCTCCAATTAACTGAAATCTGCTGACGGCTGTGGTCACTACTGCTATTACCCACCCATTTCTCTATAAAATGTAAAAGAAACAACACAGTCACTATGTATAGCTAGATGTTACTGAGGATTAATTGCAAAACATGAATTTATTAAAATAAAAGGCTTTATGAATCAAACGCATAAATGATACAACTACTTAAATAAATCTCCATCGGGGTAGGCACAGTAGGTACACAAGTACAAACCCTGCTGATGGCACTTAACCTATTCTGATGTTTCGCTTTGCTCTTGCTTCCCTTCTCCAGGCCCAGGAATTTTTCTTGTCCTCCCAATAATAACTGAAATTACTAGTGTCAATTAAAAGAATTAACATTACCAACAGCAGATATCCAGACAATTTTACTTGGGAGTCCTATTTTCTGCAATGCTCCGAAAATGAGTGATGCTAAAATTAATTTATAATCTCTAAACTGTTACAGGATGGCAATAAATGAACACAGAATTATCTGGAGAATGTGGAGTGGAACAATGTGGATTACAGTTTTTCCAAACATCTTCACAGGCTGATACAACTTTATATTCAGACACAGAAACCAAACATAAAACACAAAACTCTCATATTCTAGCTTTTAGTTTTAAAAGAATTTCTTTATTAAAACTGATACAGGATACATTTTTTAAAATAAAAGTACAAAAAAATTCTGGAAGGATTGTCAGCAAAAATGTAATCAATGAGGTTATTTTCCTTTATTTATGTTTCTCTGAATCCTCTAACGTTTTTGTGTAATTGTTTTAAACCTTATGCAAATTTTTTGCATTCCTCTTTCCCACTTTATCAAACGGTCATGGGCAACTGCTGACAATAATCTTATTTCTTGGGTTTTATTTCAAACTATCCTTAAACTTCTAAGTAATTTTTGTTAAAAACATTTCCCAGAGTTAAAATGTGACCTTTGACAAACTTGATTTTAGATGAAAACCGTGCACAAAAAGCCAACTGTCTTACTACTAGGTCTTCAAGTTAGACAGTGAATATGCAGCATAAGACAAACTACAGCTCTTACCTTTCAATTTCCTGGCTTGATAAGAACCATCAAGTTCCTTTTTACAGTGTACACATACATATTTTTAATTTGGCAATCCCATATTCAGTGAAAATAACTCAGATTTTTAGTTACTGTGGAATTTTGAAAATTCTAGCAATTGTGAAGCTGAATTTTATTTTATTATTATCTAACAAAAAGCAAGTAACATTGTAAGATTTCAAACGTTTAACCTGTTAAAAATGGGAATACATTTCAATCAAGAGCACACTATTTTTAAAAAATAGTACTGCTACCTAGTCACAGGAATTTCTCATCACATTTTTGCAGTCCCTAGAAGTTCAGAATAAATGTAACATTCACATACTACAGTCCATGAAGAGTATACTTTTATTGGTTTTCATACATCTTAAATTTCAAATCGCAATAATAAAATTCAATAAATTTGATTCCTTAATCATAAAAATTTGCTGTACACATTATTTACATGTTGCCAAAGTCTACAGCCATATAAAACATCACAAGGATCTGATTCTATGCACGGTTCCATCACAGAGGAGGGAGCTGATTAGCATACATTCAAAGATTAAATTATAGATACGCACAGTGTATTTGGCACTGTTCATTAATATTAAGCATCGCTCAGAGACAGGCATTCTTCAGCCAGAATTTGCTATTCACATTAATATCAGCCTTTCAACTTCAGAACAGTAACCCACTAGTTAAAAAGAAGCAAACCACAGCTACAACTGGGAATGGAATTCAGATCCTCCCTTCTTGCTCTGCTCTGTGCTGCCATCCATGTAACGGGCCTGCTCTGGTAATTTCTCCATTGTGGGGAGTATCAGAAGGAACAACTTAAAGACCACACCTTCGATACACATAGAGACACACACTTTTCTTTAAACGACCCATTCTGAGGAGTGCAAAGGGAGCCCTGACAACAGAGAAACTGTGCAGATCTTGCCAGGAATTTCAGAACAAGCAGTGCTGTTCAAATCACACAGTGCTCTAGCAGGCGCACCCCTGGAGAAGGTAATGGAGAGGCTCTAAGGGACCCTGTCCAAAGGGGCTCTTCTCAGCTGCAACAGATTGAAAACATGGACTACGGCTTTATTTTGACAAACACATCCTACTGTGAAAGAGGAGGAGGAAAGTGAAAAACTCATACTACATCTTGTAGAGATCTGGGCTACATCTCAGTAAGTAATTTAACTAACTGTATTTTAACAAACATTAAATCCGTACTTCAATTGGGCCCATTAAATTTAATTCATTAAAGCTGTACACACTGCAAAATTTTTATAAGTGACATTTATATTATCTACCATGTTTATGAAAGGCTTAAATTAAGTAAAATACTCAACAGGACATGAATTACAACACAACGTAACAGAAACAGGAAATTTCTAATAGTTTTGAGATGCTGTAGCATCACACAAAACTTGGAAATAAATTAAGACTTAAAAAAAATACAAAGAACTATGAAGTGCAAAGTAATGTCACTGGACCAAAATTTAGTTTAATCATTTTTATTTCAAGTGTATTTTTAAAATCATAAATGGGGTTTTCTTAATTCAAAGTCAAAACATATTCTTCACCACTTTAGAATCTGAGGAGCAATTCCAAACCATGCTTTCCGAATCCAGTCTTCTCTGCTCTTTCCATGCTTCTGAGACCTGGGATGTAAGCAACCCCACTCCAGTGCACACTTTCACCTGACTACTCGAGATCTGGGGTAAGACAGGAACCCAAACACAGTCCTCAAATAGACGAATGCTTCTGACCCAGGGTCGGCAGTGAGGGAGAATATACCGAACACCTACCAAAGAGGGGCTTACTCATTTTTAAAAAAACAGAACCAGTGCTGTTCTCTGTCACAAAAGAGAATGTGTAAGATTAAAGTATTTTTGTAGATTTTCGTAATACTTTATTTCCCTCACAGGCCTCAGTCCTCCTCAACCTTTCACGCAAAGTCACCAATCAGGCTTAATGAATAGACCCCAGGTGATATTCCAAAGAGGAACAAGTTACTTTTGAGGGAAAGCACTGCTCTGACTTTTAAATGCCCAGAACAGTTAACAGAAATATTTTACTAACTTTGGATGCTGTACAGCATACAACTCACCCAACAAAGAAATCAAAGCTTTCCTTTTTTAAGGAAAATTTTTACCTTTACTTTTTAGGATTACAACTTACTTGTTTTCGGTTTTGACTGCCTAATTCAATATTTAAGTTTCTACACCTCTGCATTTCAGTACAGTAAGAGCTCTCTTTCAGATGTTCTTCACAACACGAACAAAGACTCCAGAGAAACATTCTGGGTCACACCATTTGACTACAGTGAAGTCCAAAACGAAGGTGGACGGATATGTGAACATGGGTGTTCCCAACTCCACTTCCTGGAAACTCCCTCACATCAGAAGACTTCCATTTAGTAAGTCCACATACTATTCTTGAAAACTGAAGTTTGGTCACTAGGAAAGACTGAACAAAATTATCCCCTTCCCTTAAACAACAACCAAAACAGCTCTGATCCACCCCTCTACTCCCCACAAAAACAGGGAAGTGGCAGGGCTTGAAGACTTCACACCTGAAAACTCAGCTCCTAAAGACGGCTGCTGTTCGCTCCAAGTTGTAGGTTTCCGTACTCTCTTCTCCAATACTTCCCCCATTTATAAGTTTACTTACACACACACACACACACACACACACACACACACTCACACTCACTCATCTCAAGTAAGACACTTTTTTGTGTTTGCTGATAAATTATGAGGAATATGAACTAGGTGTATACAGGGTTTCGCAGGTGTCTGTAAACATCAGAGTCCCCCGGTCCTCTTCTCCCAGAGCCCGAAGTCGCAGCCAGGGATGACTACTTCCCCATGCGCTGCTCACACGCTGCGTACTGGCGCAGGGCAGAGAAAAAGTCCTCGTAACTGATGTTTAGGTGGGAAGGCAAAGAGCTGAAAGGGAAGCACAGGGGAGAATCCATTAGAAGCTCACTGTGATGTGGTGGGGAAACCAGAGGACAATGACCAAGAAGGGGCGAAGGACAGAAGGCAGTAAAGTACAATCAGGATACCCAAACCATCGCCACCAGAAGACTGTTACCCCACTGTGGGACAGTTGAAATGAAAACGAACCTGCCTGTCTATCCCTAGGAAGACAAAAGCAAAGCTGGCTTTACACCCTGTTAAAGCAAGACCCAGATGGACTCAAAGCTCAAATCCACTCCAGACTCTCCAAGGCCCGTGTATGAAAGTGCTCCCCACTTCTAATTCCTAACCAAAACCTCTTAATGACATCAAGTAACATCTCAGTAATCTCCACTACCACTCTCACCTCCTAGTCATCTATTCCAGCAATACCAGGTATGCTGGCACAGCATCTGCAGGCTGCGCATGCTGAGGGAGGGAACCTCTGCCTGCACTTCCGCTCCCTGGGCTCATGGAGCCATTATGGGGTAAGGACAAAATGAACACACAACCAGAGGGCTGCCTGTTAGGTCAGGACCTTAACTAATTGCCACAGCCTTACAATAAGGCTCGGGAATGCCAAATGGCATTTTTGGTAGGTCAGTACCTTAACTAATTGCCACAGCCTTACAATAAGGCTCGGGAACGCCAAATCCCAGAGTCAAACCAAAGCCAGGTTACAAGCCACATTCAGCATCTTTGGTCACAGGCACAACACCCCCATCGGGAAAGACCAGCTGTACTCTGGGGGCTCTCGCTAGGTGTGCCTTTTTGTCCTCCTTCTTGACTGCTGGAAATTCTGACAAAAGTCACCACTTCTAATTCCTAACCAAAACCTCTTAATGACATCAGGTAACATCTCAGTAATCTCCACTACCACTCTCACATCCTCGTCATCTAGCCCAGCGATACCCTCCAAAGACACTGAAGTACGCTCCTGCCAGGGTGGCTTCACACGTCCTCAAGTCCCTCACCCTCCTCCATCTTGCATCTCATGCTGGTACTGAAAGTCTCCCAACCTCTGACACCTCTGTCATATACTTCCTTAACACTCTGCTCTGCCCAAGCCAGATTCCTGTTTCTTTAAAATGCGCCCAGCTCTTCCTTTTTCCTTTCCTACCTGCTCCACTCTCCACCTTTATTCCAAATACAAACATTCTCTACCTATTACATACTCTAGCTATGCCCTCTGGCTCCCTCCTGATCTCCTAAGATATAAGCGCACAATCATCGCGAGAGTGATGGTTTTTTTACTAAAGTGAATTGGTTTTTAGATGACCTGCTTACTCCATTTGCACAACCATCACTCTCGTGTCTAACTCTATGTGCATCTTTACTTTGCCATGGATACTGTGAAGTACCTGAAGTAAAGATCTGGTATCACAATTCTTTGGGAATTCCCACCAGATCTAGTCCAGTGCTAGGCCCAACACTTGCTGAGCAGAAACAGTCAGTATACTTTGTTACTTACACAATCTCAGTCAGTCTGATTTGCCAGGGAAGAAAGCCTAATGTGCTGTCCACAGGACCAAACTTCAATATTAAATCAGGATCAGGGAAATTATTAGAACCTTGGGAATAAAAACATACACATGAAATTAATACACACTGCTTATACACATACACACACACACACACACACACACACACACACACACACACACACACAATGATCAAGGGCAAAGCCTGCTGCATGATGGACCTACTCTAAGAGCTTTACCTCTGTTTCCACGCCTCCTCACACTCCTCAACATGTACTTTAGTGGCTATGTCTGCTCTAAATGTGGAGATTTACATGTAACTGGACTGATACCTGATAAGGAAGGTAAGCCAATCCTCACCCGAAATCCAGTGCATACCCCTCAAACACCCTCCATGTATTTCCAGCACGGGTATTCTCTTGGCACTGCTCAGGGCACAATTGTACGGACCACACGACCAACTGCAGAGTAGAAAAGGACCTGAGAAAGTATCTCCTCTCCTTCCTTCCTCAGGCCCCAATTCCCAGCTACATAGTAAAATGTGTTCCGTCTTCCTAGAGTGCAAGCAACTTCAAAGGGGGACAGAAGGCTGTACCCCAGACAAGTACCCACATATATTGTATGTGTTATGAACTGGTTTCCATACAAGATCCAGCTTGTGGAGAGGAGGGGAACACATTTCAACTGCTTAAAAATAATGTAGGAAGAGTCACTGGAATAAGAGCTATGATACTACAATCCAAGAAACACGAGTTCTAGCAGTTGTGCCACCAATTGTTCGTCCACAGTTTTCTTCAGGGCACACAAGGAGGAGCTGGGTTAGCCAGGCCTGTCCTGCAGTCATAAAGAGGAATTATTTCCAAAAAAGTCCCCTCACTGTCCAGGTTGGTAGAGTCACCTAAAAAGCAATTCTCTTTAGTAAAAAAGGTAAGAAAAAACTGACAATATTCCTGTGCAGAAGGTGACATATCCTCCCCTTAAGCATACATGTTAATTGGGCAGAAACACCCATTAAAAGGTAATTATTCCTTAAAAAAAAAAAAACAAATAAAACCAGCTAGAGCTTCAGGTAAGAAAGGCAAGATCTACAGCAGCCTTGACTGAGATTTCCACTCTCAATCAATGCAGAGAAAGTTTTACTGGCACAGGGCCAACAACAAAAGCTGGTGGACTTGCTGCTTGGTGCCAAAAGATACGGACTGAATTTTAAAGTGGAAGTTGAAGGCAGGAGGAAGAGAACAACATACAAATTCTCATTGTCTGCCAGCTACAAGACGGACACTCAACAGGGAAGAAATGAAAACACAGAAGCATTACTGGCCTGACACTATGGCCGCAGTGACCAGTAACTCAACAGGAAGATCCTGCAAGTAAGAGCATGTGAAATTCCACATATCCAGGCTGACAAGGGAAACTACTCACCTCTGAGGGGCTGGGGCCACAGCAGGAAACAACCCAGGAAAAGCAAAGGCCAAAGAGGCCTAAGAATCATGTCAATTCTGAATGCACTTTACAGTTCCACACAGTCCACTGGAGCCTCACACAGGTGTCTGAGCACAACCAGGGTATAAATCACCAAGGCCCACTGCACTACGCAGTTACGGGAAACAATAAAAAACTGAACAGAGACAGCATCGTCTTTACTTGTAGTAACATGATCTTATAGCTGGAAAATTGTGTCTCTATAGAAGGTACTTCAACTGTTAACTGAATTTTAGCAAAAGCATAGGACACAAAATCAGTTTTAAAAAATTTGCATTTCCAACTGCTATCAACAACCTGAAAATAAAACTAAGAAACTATCCCATTAACAACAGCATCAAAAAACCTAAAATACTTAGGAACAAATCTTAACAAAAGAAGTAGATATTTAAAAAAAAAAAAAAAAAAAAAAAAAGAAGAAGAAGTAGATATTTTAAACCATGAAGTTATAAAACACTGCTGTGAGAAAAAATCAGGACTCAAATAAGTGGAGATACAGACTTTCATGGATTATAAGATTCACTATTGTGCCATGTCAATTTCTCCCAACTTGAGCTACAGGGTTCACCTCAGTCCATACCAACAGGGATGTTTTTTGGAAACTGAAAAGCTGACCCTAAAATTTAATAAAAAAGCAAAAAACATGAATATTCAAAACAATTTTGCCAAAAAAAAAAAAAAAAAAATCAAAGCTGAAAGCTTTATACTACCTAATTTCAGAACTTACTATGGTAGATTACAGTAATCAAGCAGATTTTATGAAAACAGACGTACAGACCAATGGAATAGAATGGTATACCCAGAATTAAACTCATGGATCTATGGTGAACTATTTCTCAACAAAGAAACCAGAGTAACTCAAAGGAGAAAAACACAAGTCTTCTCAACAAATAGTGATAGAAAAACAACTAGGATGTTTTATCCCATGTCATTTACAAAAGTTAAGTCAAATGGATTACAGGCCTAAATCTAACAGTAAAATCTATTAAAATTTCTAGACTGAAAACATAAGAAAAAATTGTGACTTTGGGTTAGGCAAAGACCTCTTAAATATGAATCTAAATGCATGATCCATAAAAGAAAAAAAAGGTAAAATGCAATTCATAAAAATTAAAACACTAAGAGAAATCACAAAGAAAGTGAGAAAGTTATAGACTAGGAGAAGGTATTTGTAAATTGTACCTTACTACTGATAAAAGACATGTATCCCGAATATATAAATGCCTCTTAAAATTCAGTAGTGAAACAACCTGTTAAATAAAAGTAAGCAAAAGTTCTGAACAGACACTTCACCCAGGAAGACACACTTGACAAATTAACACATGAAAAACATTCTCTTGTCATTAGGAAAATGTGAACTAAAATGTCAAGAAAATACTACCACACATACCAGAATAGCCAAAGTACATTTAAAAAAAGGAAAAACTAGGTAATAATACCAAAGGAAAACATGTCCACACAAAAACTTGTATCAGCATTATCCAAAAACTGGAAATAAACCAAAACTACATCAACTGATGAATGGATAGACAAAATACTGCCAATCCATAAACAAGAATACTCAACAACAAAAAGTAATGAGCACTATTGCATTCAACATAGATAAGCAAACAACACAAGGCACAAAAGATTACATATAAGCTGATTCCTTTTATATGAAAATTCTAAAGAACACACAAAATGAGTCAGAAAGCAAACCAGCAGTTGCCTGGCGCAGGAGACAGAATGGTCCCTGAATGCAGGAGGAAACGGGAGGGACACCGCAGGCCTGCTGGCTCTGTCAGACCCATGAGATGGTGTAATGACTGTGTGCATCTAATTTCAGATAGATCTACAGTGCTGGGCAAAATACCTGGGCTCAACACTTCAGCACTTTCCTTCCAGCTACCCGTAGACCACCTGTGCGCCCCAACTTAGGAAGTCTTCATAAACTTCTTCATAAACCTCTTAACCTTCATAAACCTTCATAACCCTCTGAGCAACACAGTCCCACAATGACAGGAAAAACAAAAGTGAGGACCAGTGAAAGTAGGAGTCAGAGAGACCAGGGGCCCAAGAGGGACCGTCTTCCATGACACCAGCCAAAGGAGAAGAGGTGGAGACTGAACTTGATGTGTGTTGATCTTTTTACATATTTAATAAAAAATGTATGTTAAAATGTGAAAAAAGAGAGAACAGAATAATGCTAGGAAGAAGAACCATAAAGTAAAGGTGAAAAGTTCCTAGAGGAACTCTAGAAAAGAAGTACATCAAAGACTACAATAAACAGTGCTGAAAATACATATGCATAAAGTTATATTCTGGTATGACAAATGTAGCCGAGTAAACAACGGGGACAGGAAATGCCAAGGAGTAAAAGAGGTAAATGGCCACTCTGCATGAATGAAAGGTAAGTGAGTATCTTGGCATCACATGGCTACGGGAGCTAGTTATGGATGTGAGTTTGTTAGAAAGATCGCCTTTTTTCAAAAGGGTCAAGAATAATGCTAGTATGCCCACTGGTGGCTCATCACAGCATTTCCATTCCCACTGCTAGACTGGGAGTGATCAAAGCAGGGGACAAAGAGAAAGCTCACCTGTATTCTAAGCAGAAAAGCAGGAAAAGAAGACCAACATCCCAATGAGCCAAGAGACATAAACTCCAGAAGGGAACCAAGAATTCCTCCCTTCCCTGGTGAGTATTTCCATTATTCCATTACAGTTTAATATGCATTTCATATTACTTTACCAAATAGTACACCATAACGCTTTTCTTATATATTAAACATGAACTGAAAGGAATGTAAACACACAGTTAATTATATAAATAAATAACAATATAACAGATGAAAACTCTTACTCAGATGTGTCACTTTCATTTTACATTATCCACCTACTATTGCATGGTAGAATAGCTTTTTGTCTGAATGTGTGAATAACTTGATATACGTTGATCTTTTTACATATTTAATAAAAAATATATGTTAAAATGTAAAAAACGGAGAACAGAATAATGCTAGTAAGAAGGACCATAAAGTAAAGGTGAAAAGTTCCTAGAGGAACTCTAGAAAAGAAGTACATCAAAGACTACAATAAACAGTGCCAAAAATACATATGCATAAAGTCTGGTATGATAAATGTAGCGATTTATCTGACATAGTGTAACGGAATACTAAAAAAGGAGTACACAGGCCAGGCATGGTGGCACACAACCTGTAATCCCAGCACGAAGGAGGCTGAGGCAAGAGGACTGCCGGAGTTCGAGGCCAGCCTGGGCTACATAGTGAACTTAAGGCCAATTTGAACTGCATAGCGAGACCCCGACTCAATAAGTAAGGGTTCAATCCCCAGTACACCAAAGAAAAAAAAGAAAGAGAAAGAAAGAAAAATTATTATATTCTTGGAATTGCTTTAAAAAAGCTATTATGGTCACCTTAACAGAAAGTTCAAACTAAAAAGAAAGCACAGAGGTTGGGGTCAGAAGAAGACGATGGTTCACGAGCAGAAGTCCTATTTCCAAGAATATAAGAATATTCACCACCGCAAAAAGAACTCAGGATCCTTTCCCTGGGCTGAGGATGCAGCTTAGTGATAAGAGTATTTGCCTAGCATACCTGCGGTTCTGGGTCTGATCCCCACAACGGGACATACATACACACACACACACACACACACACACACACACACACAGAACCCTTCTCTTGCTGTTAGCCCTCAAATAAGTGAGTATACTACAAATTTCACTATCTCAAAGTCATTTTCATACGCGGGTCTTTAAATTTCAGTACCTAAGAGTGTAATAACAACTAGGCTTTAGATTATGAAAGGAACCAAAGTACGTGTAGTTCCTTTCATACTGTGTCCTTGAGACAAACCAGACATGTATCCAGGACTCACTAATCAAACTGTCCAACATGTTCACGTCCAGGTCCTCAGGCCTCCGCTGCTGCCCGGCCACCAGCCGGCAGAAGTCCTGGGCAGCTCGCACGATGTCGGCTTTCCCATCCTCTGGGGCCAGCACCTTCACTGCCAAGTGGCTATTTAACACTGGAGCAAGAGGCAAACAGGACACTTAAAAACACACTCTTCCACATTGATTTGAAAATCAATTTTACCAAACAGTAAGTTCAGGCCAAAGTAACATAAGAGTTCCTAGAGTAAACGAGAATCATGGCTTTCAGTTTCAATACTGAAACATGCTTAGCTGTTCTCCTTTGAAAGGACCAATAAACTCCAGAACACACTTACATGCATATTTATACACTGCTGCCTTTTTCAAGGGCTCAGAATGACTTGTATTGTAAACAAATACGCTAGGAAATAGGAATTTTAATTATAAGCCAGATACCAATTTTTATTCATCTGAAATTCCATGTACAATCACAGTACAATTATTAATAAAAAAAGTGAATATTCGAAGAAAACTGATTTCACTGGAACCACTTTACAACTGGTCATTCTAGGCAACTGATAACAATGCAAAGTTTTTATCTATGCAAATTCCCTCCAGTCCAGAAGTTTCCCCCATTTTTCCTCAGTTTCACCTCTATTAACATATTTATTTCCTGATCTATAAATGTCTGTTCTTTAGATTTTCTGTTGAACCAGTTACAAAATCTGTCTGCTGAAATAAAACTTTTAACATGTTCACTTTTTAATATCAATACAAATTATTTTATCTTTTTCTGAAAATTATCTTTTAACAAGAATAAAAAAGTTGAAATCTGACGATAAATCATGACAAAGACTAGCAAAGTGAAATGAAAGGGAAAATACTGACAGAATATGCCCTGAAACGCACGGTATAAGTCTTCAGATGCACTGCATAGTCACTTCCCATGCATGCTTACCTTGCTCATCTTTGTCATTACTATTCGCAAACTCTGGTGAGTATTTGGAACAATCTAGGCCGAGAAGTTCCTGCTGTTGTTTTAGAATTTCATCCATCAGTCTGGAATTATTTCTTTTGAAAATACCTTTAAAAATAAACAAAAAACAAGTAAATCATAACTGGGTTAATCTCTTTGAATTATTGATGGATGCTCAATGTAGGACGATCACTAGATCCAGAACAGAACAAATCCTAAATAAAGCAATAATGACTAATCCTAAACTTGAATGTAAAAGGCAAACAAGACTACAAAATCTGCTAACAAAGGAGATTAGAGGTGATGGGAAAATACGCCTCTACTTAGAGGTGATGGGAAAATACAGAAACTTAGACCTAGAAAGGACTTTAAGCATTCATTTACTAGAAATTGTTATTTACAGAGTAAGACACAAAATGCCCTTACAGGGCAGTCTAACATATTTTCTCCACAGATTTACTCTGTATTATCAATACTAATCACCTCATTTTGATTTTTTTAATGAAAAACTAACGTGAATTATGAGACAAAATAAAGCCAAAATTGAGTAAATTCAAAGAGAAATAAAATAATAAACTAGTTTCTGATCCTCCAACCATGCAGAGAAAAGTTAACACTTTATCATTCATTGAGAACCATGAAACTTTATGTGACATATATTTAATATAAATCTAATAGAGCTCTTACTAGTGTTTAAGTACTTTTAAAGACAAAGCTTTCTAGTGACTGTCCCTTTTTTGGTCTTTATCAAGTATTTATACTTTGTGCTCTCAGGCCAGACTTTCAGTGGTCAGACACTGGGAGAAAGAACAGGGCGGGGTGTGTGCATGTGCTTCAGAGCCGAGAATCCACCCCACAAACACCAAGTAGTCGACAGCAATCTACAAACGCAGGCTCCTTGGGTGGAAGGAGGTTTTATAAAAAAGCAAGGTTCGAGCTGAGCTGAACTGAGAAAGTTAAGTAGAAAATGGAGAGACATTAAGTGGGGAAAATGCTTAAGAAAAAGCAGAGTCTACAATATTCAGAAGACAGAGTCTGCTGACGCAGGAGTTTGAGAAAGTGGGGAGGGGAGGCTGAATCTTTTCAGATTGCCTACCCAACAGGCAACCCACATCAGCAAGCAAGCGGGGTGTGTGGACTGTGATCTTCAGAAGACTCAGCTGGTGTGAGTGCAGGGGTGCCCAGCACCAGGCTCCACGCTGAGCACTGGGGAGTGAAAACAAGGGTTCACCAGGGAGGAAAAGCCTCCCACCAGCCGTGTCTGACTCAAGGTGAGGTCACAGAATACCACCTCTCTTAAACACCACCTCTTTATCACATTCAGGATAAAAAAGCATATGCTACAGCACCGCTACGTGTAGACATATGCCACAGGTTCATAAATGCTACAGAATTTCCAATTATGTATGCAGGCATAGAAAAGGACAGAGACCATACATGCGGTGGTACTATACGTATATACCTCCCTTAAATGGGGTAATTCTATGACAAGGACTAGTTTAAAGCAAAAGATCAACTCAGTTTTGGATGGGCTGACAACAGAACAGGTGGGAGGGTGCTTCCAGGTGACTGAGGACACCACACACCTAAGGCAGGGCACACAGCACTCTGCAGCAGCCCAGGTTCTTCCCCGCTGGGCTCCAGGCCCAGCCTAGTGGCTAGCAGGTATGGTCTGCTCCAGAGGTGGACCACAGGAGACTAACGGGGTCACCCTCCCTGAAATGGGGCCGTCCAGGTAAGACAGGCCCAGTCATCACCCAGAAAAAAATGGGCAAATACGGAGAAAAGAAGACAGCGTAGACTCTAGTTATAGGACTGTCAGCCTCAAAACATAAAAGTGAACATCTGGAACACACCTATGTAGAGCAAGGTAGAAAGAAAATGTTCCTAAATAGTAACCGCAGTATTAAACACAGTGGTTGTGGCCAGGAGTTACTCGCATAGCAATCTTTAGGACAGTAATACTTGTGCAGTGATACTGAACATGTGGGGTATATAATCATTAGCCTCAAATCAGTAATAAAACTCACATGCAGGATAAAAAAGCATATGCTACAGCACCGCTACGTATAGACATATGCCACAGGTTCATAAATGCTACAGAATTTCCAATTATCTATGCAAGCATAGAAAAGGACAGAGACCATACATGTTGTGGTACTATACGTATCAATTGTGGAGCCCACCTGAATTTCAAAAATTTCTCAATTTAAAATGAATTCCTCAATTTCAAAAGGAAAATTCGCTCCACAGTGTTCTAGCCAAGACACAAGCTTATTAAAATAAAATGGTAAATGAGTGTTTCGCATGTGAACCAGACTCCACTCATTCTGACCGTGGCTCTACAAGAGTCCTGCTCTGTCTGCTGTGTGTATGCAGACTCAGCTTCGCCTCCTGCCAACTCACGCTGACCTAGCCGGGACTCATGCGGAAAGCTCTTCAGGAACCCAGCCTCACAATGACATTTTTTGGCACCAGAATAGCTGCTGCCTCTTTGCACCCTACTCTTCTTCCGATCTCACCTTTCCTGAAGGGTTACCCCTTGTTACCACACTGCTTCTGTCTCCACATCCACCTGCGTCCTAGCTCTTCCAATGTCCTCTCCCCTCCCTCCCATGTGAGCTTTCTCTTCCCCTTCAGCCAGGCTGGCTGCCCAGGGGGTCCTTCTTGAGCCCTCAAGGACACAACAAGTGTAGAGTGTGGCAAAATCTTGGGTGCAAATTTATGGTGCCCACCTCCCCACCAGTACCTTCAATGGCTCCTAAAATACTATACATTAATAAGCTGTTCAGTTCACATAAGTAATTCAATCCACCTGTATGAAACAAGCAAACCTATTTCTTTGTAGTTCTCTATCCCTAGCAAATTGGAAATGCCTTGTGTTCTCAAAAATTGACAGGAGTCACCCAGACATAGTAACACACGCCTGTAACCCCTGCTACTTGAAAGGCTGAGGCAAGAGGATGGCAAGTTCAAGGCTACCCTGGGGAATTCAGTGAAACTGTCTCAAAATTTTAAAAGGGGAGGAGGGAGCTAGGCCCACTGGTCAGTGGTAGGGCACTGCTTAGCAGGGGTTAGAGGGCTGGACTCAATCTCAGCATTGCAAATAAGAGGGGAGGGACTGGGAGATGAGAAGAGAGGAGACTCCAGCCCCATGCTTTAGGTTAACTTCCAATACCTGTAAACTCTAATTCCTCACAGACCCTCACTGAAATATCACCTACCCTCGAGCTTTCCCAAGAGACTTGCCCAAGAGAATTCCCTTAGCCCATGTTCCATTTAACAGGAGTACAATGTTTATTAAATACACTGAACTACCAGTGTGCAAAAGTGGCCCCCAACAACAACAGACCCTAAAGGGGCATATCACTGTGAAGCTTTTTAGTATTTCCAGGAACCTCTCACAATACAAGCAGACACTTCTTTAATGCACATGGGCAGAGATTTTATTCAAAAAGAAAACAACCACCCAGTATAGTGGCACATGCCCGTACCAGCACTTAGAAGGCTGAAGCAGGAGGATCACCTTTGCTTGTGGCCAGCCTGGGCTATACAGCCAGTCTGAACTACCTAGCAAGACCTTGTCTCAAAATAATAATAATAATAATAATAATGGGAAAATACTACAGAGGCACAATTTTAAAATATCTTTTATAAAGATTTTCATAGTTATTTTATTTTGGTACTGGAAATCGAACTCACAACTTCACACTTCCCAGGCAGGCACTGTGCTGCTGAGCTATATCCTCAGCCCTTTCATAGTTTTGTTTTTTTTTTTAATTTTTTTTTCCCCCTGGTACCGGGAATCGAACTCACGACCTTGCGCTTGCCAGGCAGGTGCTGTGCAGCTGAGCTAAATCCCCAGCCCCCTTTCATAGTTATTTTAAACAGAACTTTTGCCTATGCTGATTTGGATGAAAACCTGAAACGTGTATAATACAGTTTTGGGAGCTGGGGTACGCTGGACAGCAGAGTGCTTGCCTGGTGAGGGCTGGTTTGACCCCCAGCAGCTTGTTTCTCCTGAGGGCTCAGATGAACAGATCAGGACCAAAATGTTCTTAAATCCCCCAACCGCAATCTGACTGCACTCCCTGGTAACTATTCCATCGACATCACCCACTCACCACCACCTTCAGAGTTCAGAGTCCATACAAACTCACACACATACAACACACCAGAACCACAACAACATAGTGTAACGGTGACTTTGAAATAAGAAATGGAGTAACAGCACAACACGTGGATTGTTTCTCTCATAATTCACACTGCTTGCCTTCTAGAACCTAAAGGCAAAATGACGAAATAAAAGTAATTACCACAGAAGTCACTTTATGTGAAAAGAAGTTGAAATCATATTCATTCAGAAATAATAAATTTGAGGAAAAATATCTGAAAATAGTTATACAGTACTGAGCTTAAGAAATGTTTTACTTTATCCTTTTACAGATTCAGAAACAGACCAGAAAGGTCAAGCAATTGTTCTTAAAGGTCTAAGTATCTGACCTAAGAACCAGATCCCCTGGCTTTACTGTTCAATTCAGTAACCACTTTTTACTCTGATAAAGGAACAATGCTAAACCCACTATACAATTAAACTCTGAACTTTCCGCTAAAAAAAAAGAGAACTGTATTAAATAAAACTCATCTTTTTACAAGTCTCTTTAAAAAAAAAAAAAAACCTAGGGATACGTCTGTATTTATTTTTCCTCTCTAAAGCCTTTGAAGGCACTGAGGAGGTTTCAGAGGCGAACAGGTATTTTGTGAATGACCTGGAACTCCACAGTGAGCCTTGGAGGAATTTCACACTAATGGGTGCAGTGAGTGCAAGAGAAGACTCATAGTATCCACCTTTCCAGCTTGAGCCACTGCATGGAAGGGAGTGATATTTTATGACATGGGAAAAATTAAGAGGACACAGGTTTGGGGGAAATGCCAAGACTAACAGTTTGGACATGTTACATATCTGAGATGTCCAACAAGGAGAGGAACCTCAAACGTAAGTCTGGAAATACAAAGAGATCAGGGCTGAAGATGCAAAAACTGTGTTGGCTCACGGCTGCTCCCGAGAATCCTGGGGCAGAGCGCTCATCTGGGACAGGCCAGAAGGC